CCCTTTCATCCACTGGTATGACAAAGCCCCTCTGTCCCTTTATCCAGCAAGAACACTCACACACTTTGATATCACCAAACAGTCAGGCTGTCATCCCTCACCCTAACTCCAGGTCACGTAGGTCGCCACTACTCAAGTGAAGTCTAACATTCAAGAATTCCAAAAACAAACAGAGAGCAAAGTTGAGCTCTCAACGCCTTTAAAAAGACATCAGCGGTGTGTATGTTTGCATGTTTTAAGAATGCGTGCGTGCGTGCGTGCGTGTACGAGATCTAAATGGGTCAGCTGCATTCATAAATTCCTCTGTCTAATGTGCCATAGTGATGACATGGAAGTAAACACACATGCACACAGTACATTTACACTATACACACACACACATACACACAGGTTTAAAGTGAGCATTCTCTACAGGTCTGTCTTCTCCATGATCAACAGATGAAACAAGCTCCATTGTAGCTGACCTGGTCACTTTAATCAAAGATCCCCTTCAGAAGCTTTCTGTAATTCTATCCTCCCCTTAACTCTCAGCACTGACAGTTGAACACTGTACCACTGAACTCAGAGAATTGACATTTACTATCCTTTTAAAACACATTAAAATTAGCTTTTACATACACGATTTATAGTCTTTAAGCAACCCCAGCAGTAAAAAACAGCTTTCTTTCTCACCTTGCCTTCAGGGAGAAATATCAGGCTCCTTTTGTCTGGATCCGACACAGCAGTGCGAAGGGGAAGCAGGCAGTCCTACTGAAAAGTTTGTTTAAAGAATCAGACTCCCGGCGTGTCCCTCCCACTTTCTGCCCCGGCCAATGGTGAGGCGGTCCTGTCCCTTCCAAAGACATCTCAGGCCAAGCCATTTCTCCATACAAGGCAAAAGAATGCACAGGCTGCAGCTTGCTACTGCCACAGCTCGGGATGTTTGGGGGAAAAGGCAGAAATGACAGGAACTACGATAAGGCAGCCTTATTTAGAGAACAGGGCCTAAACATTTAGAGGAGGCTCTGTACAGCGGAGTGGAAACATGTAGGAGAGAGAGTTGTGAGCAGATGCAGAGCAGTTTCGAAAGCCTGTGTTTCTGTTGTTAAGGCTAGGGGTTTCCTTAAATAGGCAGTTTGGCTGGCCTTCACTGGGACCTGAATGTGCAGGGAACACCTTAAATTATGTCAATGGGGTAACATCTGTTTTGTGGCTGCTTACTCTATTTCTCATCATATTTTATTGAAGAAGCTCTCAAGGAAAAACCTACTTAGTTAATATTCAGTTTAAATAAATCTGTTCTGATGCTTTTTGGCAGTTATTTTTTCCCTTTAAGTGTTAATAGAAATATTTAGCCAGTTTTTTGCCAAGATATTGTAAGGTATGTCTTAAAAAATGTATTCATTTGTAACATCTCCATCCTCCTTAACTGGGCAGTGCTCAATGTATGCTGTAGTAGGAGTAGTGTTTTTCTTTTGGGTTGGATATCTTTAATTGCAAATAAAACTTTTTTTTAATCCTTTTTTCCATTAAATGGGAATACTATATCAAAAATGTCTGCGAGTCTTTATTCACTTGTAAAATGACAATTTAGTCTTATTTTAATTTAGGTTTTCAAAAGTTCAATTTTGCTGTAATGCTCATGATGAAGTTTTTTGATACAATAACCCAACATTCTACATATTGAAAATTCGATTTCCCACATATCTCTTGTGTCTTTATGTTGAGTATGTATGCCAGGAATATCTATATCTATATCTATATAAATCTAGATAGATGATATATATATATATACATAGATCTCATTAAAATAGTACACTTTCTGTTTTCATTGGTTTAAGAAATGTAGCATATTATAAGAATATTGTTCTAAAGATTCAATAAAAAAAAAACAGATCAGAGCATGAATGGACTCTTTTGGGCGAAAAAAGGCAGCCTCTCTGTTGAATGAGGTGCAGTGATGCCCTCTGCAGGGCCTCGCTAGTTATCATTTCTGAAATACTGAAAACCCTTCAATGAATGATGATGAGGACAAAAATAATGTGGGAGGGCTGTGTACACATGAAGCTGAGAGGCACACATTGGGTGAGCAGATACTTTTTACAGTTTATCATATTCTCATAGAGAAAGATATTTCACAGCCTTAGGCTACCGTATGTACCTTACCATAGTTATCACTTTCTGTCTCTAAATTATTCTGTAAATTTCTCATAGAATTGAGCAATGCTTGAAAGCTTTCAGTAATGTAGTTGATATATTTCCACAGAAATATTATACGAGCATAGGTAACATATTCTTTAACACGAAGCAGCAGAATTGCCAAAACAGAACCGCTAAGAGGCCATCTTATAAGTTCACTGTTTTGTTTAACAGATTTTTTGGAAGTATTGTTTGTGGAAAGGTGTACAAAAGAACAATCTGTAACAACAATTCCTTCAGTGTGGTAAATACAGTACAGAAGCATTAGCCTATTATGAATCCTCTTCATGTGACAGATATTTTATATAGGCTACACATCACTATTGCCTCAGGAGCTCCTCTACACCTTCCCCTGTCTTTTCCACTAGCTGAGATTAAATATGTTTTTAGCAGGGTGACACCTGTGGATTTAGCGGATAGAAAAGCTCATAGCATTTAGCTCAACAACATCATCTGAATTAGAGCACAGGAGGAGCACTTTAGCTGAGCACTGTGTCTGCTGTTTGAGATATGCTAGACTGCTGCCAGCCCACAGTCTAATAACTGCCCACATATTTTTATGTCTTCTTGTATGTAGGCTAACTATAAGCTACTTTATAAGGTAAGACATATTGAGTGTAAGATTAAATAGATATTCATAAATGTTTTGTAAATAATTTCTGCTGCAACACTATTGAATCACTGCTATGATAAATTTAAAAGTAGATTTGTCACCCAGCAACATGCTTTTATTCAGAGGTTTATCAAAGGCTAACTTTTAAGGCTGTTTAAGGGGCCAGATTTGTGCGGGTTGTTTTGTTTGCATAGTAGACTTTCAGTTAAACTTTTCCAAGGTTTTATGACTGATTGATTTTAGTTTAACTAAGAGGCTCTGTTTTTAGAGACTGTGGGAATCATAATCCAAAATCAATGTTTGCCAGTAAGCTACAAAATGGCAATTTAATCTTCATATATTTTATTAACTATACAATGCTATTAATACCTGTTTTTTCCGTATCTTATTTTACAAGCACACATTCAGAACTAAAGTAATTTCTGCATCACTGAACGCTTTGTTTACAGACTAAAGTTAGAGTCGGGTCATTTTTCCTGTTCCTGTTTGCTCATTGGCTATTGGAGTGATTGACATGTGTTGTGCGCAGGCGCAGCATGCTAGGAAGCGTCCGGGATGGCTGTTATCCTTGTTGCTGTGTTTTCTCAGTCTGAAAAGCCACAAGAAAGGTAAGCTGCTGTCCACACACTGTCCACACACTGTCCACGTCAACGCAGAGACAGTAAACTGTCTGTAACATCTTTAGCAGTTGTGGAAGACGTCAGCCTGTCAGAGCTAGCAGAGTTATGTCCATTTGTAAGAGTTTTGTTACTTGCTGTGACTGAGACATCATTTAAGTCGTAAAGACGTTTTCAACACTTAACTCCCTGTCAAACAAATAAAGTTCTGAATATATTACTTAGCTCTGGCATTTTCATAACTAGGGCGGGGTCTCTCTAGTTTTAAAGCGTTTCAATTAACGACGAGAAAACGTGTTTTAAGTATCGAGATGGATTACGGCGCAACGTAAAACCGTTGCGGAAGTTGTATGTAGCTAATGTTTTTACCAAACCATGCAAATATAGAGGCCGAATGCATTAGCACCACATGGGTAACTTATAATGAAAAAAAACTCACTTTGTCTGTCATTGAGTTCTTTACAAGACCTTCACCGAATCAGTTCTCCTGCACCCGGAGGGGGCTGACTTTGTGAGTGCTGCCTGAGTCATTGATGCTGATAGATATTCTGTAATCAAAATCTGATGTAACGAGACAGTATGCTGAACCACACTGCAACAGAGTGAGGTAACCTGTGTGTGTCTGTGTCTTCTATGAGGCAATGGACAGTAAAAGCCAGGACTACAGTCTCCGCACACTTGGCTGTCTTTAAGAAATTGGTATTCAGTCTGTTCTGTCAGCTTGTAGTGAAACTAGTAGAGTTAGTTTATCAGCAACCATTTTGACACTTGATACAGCGTTATGGAAGACATTTGACACCATGTCACAATGTTAATGGGCTTTCAGAAGGTGTGATGGAAATCTTTTGTTGACAAAACAATGTATCAATAGTTAAAAAACCCTGAGTGATTAGTTGCAGTCCTAATGCCAGCTTCATCAGTTTGAATTCCTCATTGAGGAGAAGGCAACTTAAAGGCAGCGAAGCTTGGCATTGTGCCAGTTTACCCACAAGGGATGAGTATAGGAATGTGTTTGATACATTAGAAACAGCATGCCACTACAGAAACATTTGATCCTTGTGCATCAGTTATTAACCACCTCATCTTTCTCTTCTGTCATCCTTCTCCTGCCCTAGATTTTGTTGTCTCGCACTACCTTTATCTGCTGCAGGCTTTTGTTCTTTCTGCTTTCTAAATACAGCTGACCTGGCAGTTAAAGTCAAGCAGTCAAGTATCACACTAAAAAATGGGCACAGAACAAGGTCATTCATGTCAGAAGGTCATGAGCTACACACCCATATTTTACATTTACACTGTTGGATCAGCCACATGAGTGAGGATAGTTTTTATTTATATATATATATAGATAGATAGATAGATAATACACTCTTTGTTACTTTGTTACCTTTCTATCATATCCTCCTCCACAGGCAGCACAGGCAATGATATCCATCCAGATTTGCTAGTTAATTTCTTGACTTTATCCCAAGTCAGCTAGGCCTATGAAGGATTTTCCGGTGTTGGTAGAGCATGAATGCTGGAGAGTCCCCTCATCTTGGATGGCCCAGAGAGCTGTGGTCAAGCCCAGAAACTGTGTGGTCGCTCAGTGTGTGTGTGTGTGTGTGTGCGATTTCATGCCAAGCGTGTTTGAATAGCCTGCCCAAGCCTTTCAGAAACTGCTGGTCTGGCTGTCATGTGCAGTGCCAGTGAGGAAGTATGTATTCGGTGTGACAGGAGGGTGTGAATGTGATTGTGAAATTGTGTTAGATAGAGGAAGCATTGGTGTGTGACTGAATAAACTAGGACTCGCTCATAGATTGCTATATTCTGCATCCTAGCTCAGACCAGAGAGTACTAGAGTGCTGTCATCTCTTATGGCCACTGATCAAGTGGAAAGTCCTATTTAGCTCAGCAGTTATAATCGACTGTACCTTTGAATCTATGTCTCAGCTGTCAGAACTAACAAAATGTAGCTTACATCCACAGAGAGATATGGGTCGAGGGGGGGCTAAATGTCCTTAGCCTTTACAGGCAGCCGAGCATTCTGGGGAATGGAGTTGACAGGTTCCTCTGGTGGAAATGCAGGTAAAGTTTCTGAGTTCCTGTGGTGGAAAAGTCCTTTTATGGTGTCGCATGGCAGAAGGGAGGTCAAGGGAGCACAGCCTGGTTGGGAGGGGACATCTGCATCCTTCACTGTGGGTAAGACATGAGATTGGTTATGTGGACTTTGGACAGATGACGCTATAGACAGGTTTGATTCATTTTGCAGGCATGTGTTGAGTCACTCAGAATCTGCCCAAGTTTACCTAGACTGTTCCTCAGGAAAATGAAAGTGGATTATAATAATCAAATTCAATAATATAAATAGTGGTATTGGTTGGGCTGTACTGGAAATTCTGAGGCTCGGATGATCTTGTCTTTCTAAGTTGTGTTAACGAAAACAAAACATGATAAGCTTCACACAGGTAGAATTTCTTTTTGAGCTACGGTATTGATTTATCTAACATCTATAGCTATGTTTTTTTTTTTTCAGTAACCTTTGGCAAGGTTTTAGTCCTTGACTTGCTTCTTGTTGTTGGACATGCTCTGGCCTGCTGAGGACAAAGGGATATATAATGGGAATAATTGTATTTGCCCCTTTTTTTTCAACCTAACTGGAACTAACTTTTGGAAATTGGCTAGAATTTGTTGTCTCTTTGGTCTCACACTTGTCTTATGACATGTGAGGTCAAATAAGTCATATTATGCACAGTAAAACCTTTCCACATAATCATCAGGCCAGGCCAAGATAATGACTTCACTTAATTCCTGTTGTCTTATAATGACAAACCTCTAGATATGTGTCTTTAATGGAGCTCATCTTCTCTCCCAGCTCTTGACCTTTAGCCTGTTAGTCACGATCAAGATCTGATTCCAAAGGTCAAAATGGTTTAGTCAAAACATTACAAATACATCCCTTGCAGTCAGTCAGGGGACACACTTCTGTCTGGAGCTAAACCTGGTGGAAAGGTTTGTAGTTACTTGGCCTGAAACTGAAATCTGGATATGTGAAAGTTTTCTTCAGTTAGCATGCTAGTGCATCATATAACGCAGGAACTCTGTTTGCTTTCAGGAAAATTTGCTATATTAGGCATTAAGCATTTTAACATATACTTAATGTAGCACACTTGGTCAATTGGATAACCAATGTAATGAGAAGTTAACATCCACTATAAATGGATGACATTGTTGTTGAGTGCTGGCTGACATTGTGTAAAAAAAGGGGGAAAGGATCAGACCTACAGGAACTGAATTCAGACACTTTTTGTTTCATGTGTCAACCCACATCACCTCGCTGTTCTCACTTCTTGTTTTTTTTTGTTTGTTTGTTTCCTTCCAGTCCCAAACCATGAATATTGTGGGCCAGTTGGCAGAGACAGTGTTTGTGACGGTGAAGGAGCTGTACCGTGGCCTTAACCCCGCCACACTCACCGGAGGGATCGATGTCATTGTGGTGCGACAGCCTGATGGATCGTTCCAGTGTTCCCCCTTTCACGTTCGCTTCGGCAAGCTGGGCGTGCTGCGCTCCAAGGAGAAAATTGTCAGTGTTTTCCCTGTTTCATTTAATTCTTTTAACTACAATTCTCCATCTCTGTATTCTCTCTGCTTTTGGTCATTCTTTGACATGTACATGCATCCCTGTGATTTTAGGTGGATATTGAGATAAATGGAGAAGTGGTTGACCTGCACATGAAGCTGGGTGACAATGGAGAAGCTTTTTTTGTGGAGGAAAATGAAAACATGGAGGTAAGATGATCAGCATTTGATGACCACTGGCTTAAGCCCTTAATATTATAAATTTTTGCTGTTCTTTAGTAACATTGCATCCATTTTGAAAGTCTGTTATATTTAATTCATCGTTGCAAACTTTACATTTTTACCCACCTCACTCTCAGGTCCCAGCCCATCTCTGCACCTCCCCAATTCCTCTTGAGGTCCCTGAGGCGATGGAGGAGATCAAGGAGACCACCGAGGAATCCTCCATTGCTGGGTCTGGCACCCGCAGGAAGAAACGCCGCCGCAAACGCATGCGTTCTGATACTCACCCGAGAGAAGAGGCCTACTCGTCATCATCAGATGAGAGAGAAAGAGAGAAGGAGTGGGAGAAAGAAAGCAATCAGGCTGTACAGGAGAGTCTTGCTAAAGGGGAGCATGTTCTACCATTACAAGTCAGGTCAGTGAGTGACTTATTTGTATGGCGTGATGTGAACAAAGGTTGGCTTCAGCTGCTGGTGCATAAATGTTGATGGTGGGAAATAGGCTAATACATTATAATAAAGTTATACTGCATGACAAAAGCTTTGAATAAACAACTGAACTACCTTGCTGATGTCACACTGTCTGTTATCACCCACTCTAAAAGTGGCCTTGCCTTGCGCAAGGTTCGTGGTCATGACTTTGCATCACGGCATATATCCTTTGTCCAAAATAAAAATTTTCCATGTATGACAGAGAAGTCATTCTCTTGCGGGTGACAGATTTCCTGATTCCTTTTGCTCTCTAATGCTGCACCTTCATGGATCAGAATCTTTGCAGTCAGGAAATGTACAGGAAATGAGGCACAGATAGATAGATCACTATGTCCAGTGATTATTGCCAATATTTTTCAGTGATGCCTCATTTATCACTAAAATTCACTGAACAAAGGGCATATGCCACCACACCATATACCATGTATTGGTAGATGTTTAATTTAAAGCTGTATTAGGCTTTTCAACATTTTTTAAAAATCTACTGCCCCTATCAGCAACCACTGATGCATTCAGACAAAAGTCACCAGTTGACACCAAAAACTCTTTTCTTCATCTGTCTGTTCCCCATGTAGTGGTTGTTCTCTATTCTGTCTCGTGGAAGGTTTTTCAAGAGAATTATGCTTATTATTGTCAGCAATAATTAGCGAGCATATTATTCTGCTTCACTGTTTTTCTACCTGTTACCCCCCTGGAGTGATTCCACAAATGCACATAGCAATGATGCATCTAAACAGCACACTTGAAACGGGTTTTTATTATTGCTGACGTTACATTTTGGGTAAAGGCAGTATAGTATTTCAGCATTTTGATTGCTGTTACATTATCTGTGCTGGACAGCCGCTGCCAGAACAAAACGTTTTTTAAAGGGAGCAATGTGGTTTAATGTTCACACCTTCAAAGTTAACAGAGGAGTTAAAAATGTCTTCTTGCATGTCTTAAAGTAAATCAGTGTACTACTCGATGTCTGAAGAGCCTAATGAGGAGGTGGGGGCCACACAGACCAGAGACACTCATCCACACTCCGATGGAGAGCAGTCACCCTCAGAGAGGTGAGGAAGGTTAATCTTTACGATATTAATCCAATTTATTTTTTTTTATTTAGAGAGCAGGGAGGCTGATTGCTGATTTTTAATGTCGATATGAAAACAATTATAAAGTCATGCATAATTCCATTATTCCTACAGAGTACAATCTAATATACATAGTCATTTACTCACTAACATGTTGTTTTGGATGGAACTTTTATTAATGAATGAAATAGAAGATACATTGGGTTATGCTGTAGATTTCAGAACATGACTGGTGTTTAAGGGAGAATGGGGTACAGTTTGTCAGGAGTGATGACATTCAACTGCATTATTCTCTACAGTACAACAAAATATACTTCTCAAAAAAATAAAGGGAACACTTAAACAACACAGTGTAACTACAAGTCAATCACACCTGTGAAATCAAACTGTCCACTTAGGAAGCAACACTGATTGACAATCAATTTCGCATGCTGTTGTGCAAATGGAATAGACAACAGGTGGAAATGATAGGCAATTAGCAAGACACCCCCAATAAAGGAGTGATTCTGCAGGTGGTGACCACAGACCACTTCTCAGTTCCTATGCTTCCTGGCTGATGTTTTGGTCACTTTTGAATGCTGGCGGTGCTTTCACTCTAGTGGTAGCATGAGACGGAGTCTACAACCCACACAAGTGGCTCAGGTAGTGCAGCTCATCCAGGATGGCACATCAATGCGAGCTGTGGCAAGAAGGTTTGCTGTGTCTATCGGCGTAGTGTCCAGAGCATGGAGGTGCTACCAGGAGACAGACCAATACATCAGGAGATGTGGAGGAGGGCAACAACCCAGCAGCAGGACCGCTACCTCCGCCTTTGTACAAGGAGGAGCAGGAGGAGCACTGCCAGAGCCCTGCAAAATGACCTCCAGCAGGCCACAAATGTGCATGTGTCTGCTCAAACGGTCAGAAACAGACATGAGGGTGGTATGAGGGCCCGACGTCCACAGGTGGGGTTTGTGCTTACAGCCCAACACCATGCAGGACGTTTGGCATTTGCTAGAGAACACCAAGATTGGCAAATTCGCCACTGGCGACCTGTGCTCTTCACAGATGAAAGCAGGTTCACACTGAGCACATGTGACAGACGTGACAGAGTCTGGAGACGCCGTGGAGAACGTTCTGTTGCCTGCAACATCCTCCAGCATGACCGGTTTGGCGGTGGGTCAGCAATGGTGTGGGGTGGCATTTCTTTGGGGGGCCCCACAGCCCTCCATGTGCTCGCCAGAGGTAGCCTGACTGCCATTAGATGAGATCCTCAAACCCCTTGTGAGACCATATGCTGGTGTGGTTGGCCCTGGGTTCCTCCTAATGCAAGACAATGCTAGACCTCATGTGGCTGGAGTGTGTCGGCCTGTAGTGTGGTTTTCCACTTTGATTTTGAGTGGGACTCCAAATCCAGACCTCCATGGGTTGATAAATTTGATTTCCATTGATAATTTTTGTGTGATTTTGTTGACAGTACATTCAACTATGTAAAGAAAGGAGTATTTAATGAGATTATTTCATTCATTCAGATCTAGGAGGTGGTATTTTAGTGTTCCCTTTATTTTTTTGAGCAGTGTATATTTAATGCTAGATTAGAGCTGCTGTCATTTAGGATGGAAGAAACATGTTAACATTTAGGAAAGACAAAGCCAACTGAGGAAATTTAGGGCTTGAAACAAACTTTTTCACCACCATCCCAAAACTCACAAGAGGGAGCGCTAACATCATTCCATAGCAGCCACACTGACCAGGCTCCCTGCAGATATGTCTGCTGACCTTTTTATATTTTTTTTGTGTATCGGCCTCATGAGTGAAGTTATCGGGCCGATTATCTGAAATTAATTGGCTGGCCGAATTTATCTTTTTGTCTTTATCCCTCCATTTGTCTTTCCATTTCCCAGCACTGTGTTCTACAGTCGACCACCCTCTCCAAAGAGTGACTCTGAGCTTTTGGTTAAACCCCAAGAGTCCTCTGGGCCTCAGATGCAGTGGAACTGGGGAGGTTTTCCCATGGTATGGCAACACAAACATACAAAGATGTAGATTTACCTGCCCGTGCTGTGGTAATGCTGTAGATTTGAGATTGTCATCCTGACACACTGTCTCAAATTGCTCTCTCTGCCCTCCCCCACAGCTGTGTCAATCAGAGAGGACACCAGTGGAGTTGCAGCACATCTCCCTTTCCAGCAGTTGTCATTTCCGCACCATTGAGAAACAAGACTCGTTTGACATGGGCTATGAGCCTGTTATCAGCTGTGGTAGAGTGGGCAGTGTAACAGTGGTCAGGCCACAACCCAGGACTCTCCTGGACCTAGGCAGCCATGCTATGCAAACCATACCTTTATTCAAGGAGAAAAATGGTGAAATTGCCCATTCCACCCAAAGAGACCTCTCCAAGTCTTGTGCCCCATCAGTGAAGACTAACGTGGACTTGACACAGGCACTTGAATCCACATTGGAGGAAGAGGAGAACAGAGACTTGTCGTCTTTTTCAGCTAATCTAATTAATGGCACCAATTCTCTTGCTGGCAAAGAAAGCACAGTCAGTGTTGAGCTTATTAGCACTGTAACTGATCGAATTAGCTCTGTAACAAAAAATAACGTGGTCAGTGTGACCAAACCAAAGAATGCACAAAAACAACTCACAAAGGAGAGCGAAGACTGCAAAGTCACAGCAACAAGTCCAAGTAGTACAGACTTATTAAATCCACAACAACAGGATGCCTTATTGGAGCACAGTGAACAGGGTTACACCAGTAGTGTCCCTGTCAGCGAGGGGGACAGTGGGATGGATCCATTTGCTGAGGGAGGGGAGGAGGAAGGTGGACCTGGAGAGACTGCAGCAGGAGGCTCACTGACCAACAAAGGTGCACCAAAAGCTGAAGGGAGAGACGCTGGGACCAGCTGCACAGCTGCAGAGGGGTCAGCAAACTCTTCTGAGTCACCCTCCAGAGTGGAGCAACAGGACAAGAATAAAGGTGAAGTATTTTTCCCTCATTGATGTAAATTTGTAATTTTTGTCCTTTACACTTTAGGTGTCTGTAAAGTCTTGTTTTAGACTTTGCGTTAACTAATTCCGTCGTCAGTGTTGACAAGTTGGGTTCATGTCATGTGTCATTTTGTTGCAGGTAAACGTAATCATCATCTAGGACCAACAGATATTTACTTGGATGATCTCACCACATTGAACCCTGAGGTGGCTGCACTCTACTTCCCCAAGAGGTAAAAAGACATAATGGATATTCCTCGCAAAATACAGTATGAGTGGCTCATGATTACGTATGAAATCCCCATCTTGAAAATGAAACAAACTGTGTGTGATGTTTGTCTTTATAAACAGTCTATGGTTTGAACACAGATAAATGAATTGAAAAGCAGCGATTTCCACAATGACTGACGTCCATAGCAACAACTCAATAATCCAATAATCATGTTGTGTTATCAATGAAGTGTTGCCCTTTACAGGGGAAAAACTGAGTGTCTGTTGTCCCTGCAGTGAGACAGAGGGAGCGTCTCAGCACGTGGCGGAGCAGGGCACCTTCTCTGGGAGCCAGTCGCCTCAGTCAGTGGGCAGCGGGGCCATGGACAGCGGTACAGAGTACCTGTCAGATTCCACCTCCTACAACATGGATGTCAGCATGTCCCTCTGCGGTCAAGTGGGAGACACCACCCAAATCACTAAAGGTAAGAGGGGAGTAAAACTGTTGCTGCTGTTCTATATCTGCAATATGTGCAAGTACATGAAGAAACAGGCTGGTTTTACCCAGTGGAGTAAGTGTTGTTTTTGCCGTTAATACAGAAAGGTTTATGGAGCACATTGTGACATACCAGGATTTTGCCAATAATCCAGGAATCATTGAGGACCCAAGCCTTGTGATCTCCATCAACTCTAAGTACGATTCGGAAGAGGGTGTTCTTAAATGGCTATTTTAAATGAGTTTATGTCTGTGACTGTTCATCACCTGGCTTTTCTCTTTCACAGCTATTACAACTGGGCAGTGGCTGCTCCAATGGTCTTGTCAATGACAACTTTCCAGAAAAACCTACCAAAGGTATTTTACTGTTTCTACGTAAGACCTCAGTAATTTATTTATTTAATTTATTAGTCTTCTTTAGTGTGCAGTCGCGAACATGAAAGAAGCTTATCACCGAGTTATTTTTCTTGATTCACAAGTTAACCACATAAAACGGATAAGATTGTAGTTGAACAGAGAATGGGATGTCAGGACTTATATGATTGCCTTGTTTTTGTGTGTGTCATACAGGGTACGATAGAGCAGTTGGTGAAGGACAAGATGCCCAAAAAGTCTGGACGCTGGTGGTTGTCCTGGAGGAGAAGAGACATGGCCAATAACCAGGTACATTCTTAGGAGTGATTATTCTTGCCAGCAAGAAAAGAAATGTTACGTGTTTGGGCCTGCAAGAATTGCATGCAATGATCTGTCCATTGTGTTTAACGGGCTTTTAGGTGTTGTCTTGTTAGCTAGGGTTGGTTTTTATGCCCTGTCCATGTAAGACAGAGATGGTATGGTATAGGTGGTTGAGAGAGGCAGCTGTGGCTCAGGAGGGTCTGTAGGGTGAGATGTCCATTATTTAGAAGGGCCGTCGTTCAATCTGCATGACAAATTGTGCTTGGGCAAGATAGTGAACCCTAAATTGCCCCTCCCATCAGTGTGTGAGTGTAAAAAGAAAGGCACTGTAGATGTACAGTCCATTTAGAGATTGTGTTTGTAAAAACCAAGATTGGCACTTTGAATGTACCTGTTAAATGTAACCCTCCCTTGTTTTTCAGCAAAAGGACGAGCAAGAGGAACCACTACCAAGTGTCTCTTCCACAGTAAAGTAAGTTACCTCACTAACAAATTATCTTACACAACTAATGTGTGTACTTAAGAACATTCAGACTTATTGCTGGAAAGACTAATACTCATACAATACTCATCCTAATAAAAATGAACAATTCTGTAAATACACCAACATTTCGATGTTTTTCCCTTTTTTGTAAATCAACTGGAACTCTCATCATGTAGTTTACCTTTGCGCCACCAGAGTGTGCCAAAGCTTTGTCTATATAGTACAAAAACAATTGTCCTGACATTTAACTACGACAAGGTATGTCACGTTTGTCAAAATTAAAGCTTAACATGTGTGACAGCCAATCAGTGATACAGATCACCATGTGGAATATTTTTCTTTATTTTCATGCACAAATCCCTAAATTGTATTTAATTAATATCAATAAATAGATTCAAAATAATTCAAACACAAAGTGTTAATCAGATGTGTGTTGGTTCCACAGAGCCACACTGGATGACATCGAGAGTGATGAGGCAGCGGGCCTCGGCCGAAAAGCCACCATTGCTCCCAGCCTGTCAACTGAAACCCTTAGCGCCACTCAGTGTATCAGCCAGATGTATCACAAATCACTACGTCTGACCTCTAAGCAGATAGTAAGAGATGCACACATACACATTCGTACACCCACATAAAGAATTTCACTCTGCTGTCTGATGTATGTGGAGGATGACCGGCTTCCTTGTGGTTTTGTCTACTTCACGGCTCTCTAACTCTCTCCTTTCTCATAACCAGGAACACTTAAACTTGCGTGAAGGAGCCAACAAGGTGGTGTTCAGTGTGACCACACAGTACCAAGGCACCTGTCGCTGTGAAGCTGCCATCTACCTGTGGACCTGGGACGATCGCGTCATCATATCAGACATAGACGGCACTATCACTAAGTAAAAACAACTGCGTTTTCTTTGCGCGCAATGATGTATAGATATTTCAGATAAACAATTATATACCAAGCATTTCACTGACCACTATGAAAGATAGATTATAGAGCATTGTGTCTGTATTATGAGTAGTCCTCACTGTCTGTCTCCTGCAGGTCTGATGCTCTGGGTCACATTCTACCTCAGTTTGGAAAAGACTGGACACACAAAGGCATTGCCAAACTCTACCACAAAATACACCAGTATGTAAAATGACTTATTACGTATTATCAGCAGTCGAAGAGCAACAAACATCATAGTCTTTAACAGTTTTTCTACTCTTGTTGTTGTTCCTTTTAGACCACTTTCTTTTACCAAACTTTCATACACATTACTTCCACCATAACAAGCAAAAACAGACAACATGAATCTGCTGCTGATGATTTCATTCTGATGTCGTTCTGTTGGTTGACTGTCTAATCTACGTCGCCAGATGTTTCCCTGTTTGTAAAAGGAGCTCAGCTGTTCAGTTAATTGGGGGGGAAAAGACTGAATTCTGTTTGAAGTGCTAATCTTCAAATCTGTGTGGTAGTATTGATGAATGTATTTGGGAACTTAATGCTATGGGTCAACTCAATTACAAGCAGAATAGGGAAATTCCAGTTTTTTTTTCTGATTCTGTTTAATCAAACTAAAATGCTTATGAGGTGGCTCCTTTCCTTGCAGAAACGGTTATAAGTTCCTGTATTGTTCAGCGCGGGCCATAGGCATGGCTGCCATCACTAAGGACTATCTTCAGTGGGTCAATGACAAAGGCACTGTCCTCCCTAAAGGCCCTGTACTGTTGGCTCCCAGCAGCCTCTTTTCAGCACTACACAGGTAAAAGATACTACTACGAAAGATAGTGTCCTACTAAGACAGTACATTTTCATTTGTAGAGGGTTAAGTAATTGAATTATTAGAATGTAGGAACTGTGTACATATCACAGCTCTACACTGTGTGAGAAATTGTTCAAAAAGTTTGAAAATCAATTTACCGCTGACCTCGACATAAGAGATATCCAGTATAACTTATACTCAGCTACTACACTGTATGAAATATATCAATGTATGCAAACACTGTCCGTCTTGACCTGTGCAGGGAGGTTATTGAGAAGAAGCCGGAGGTTTTTAAAATTGCCTGTCTCAGTGACATCAGGGACCTGTTCAACCCACAGAGACAGCCCTTCTACGCAGCCTTCGGCAACAGGACTAACGTAAGCTGTGCTGCAGACTGACTCTTAATACAGCAGTAGCCTTCAGCTACAAGTCTATTTTCAGTCAAGGTTTCCAGTTGCATATTCTCTGGCAGCGATTTTTGCCTCAGGCACAAACCTGGGTTTGTACAAATTCAGAGGGGCTCATGCAAAGAACATGCCCATGTGTTTTTAAATGTTTTTACCTAGTATTATTTCATGTGCACATCCTGTAATATACTCCTGCAGGTAGAAATGATGTGTGGGGAATGTGAAAGTGAAGTCTAGGGTTTGTATAAAACAAACACTGGCTAATGATTTATGATTATGGATTACTGCTTTTAGTGTACGTAGATACTGAAAAGGTTAAAAGTGACGCTGAAGCCAGACTGTGTAACTGCATTGTTTTGCTGCCCTTGACTTTGCAGGATGCTTATGCCTATAAGCAGGTTGGGGTGCCTGATAGCAGGTTATTTACTGTCAACCCAAAAGGAGAGCTCACTCAGGAGAAGACTAAAGGCAACAAGTCCTCGTAAGTGTGCAACAGAACACAGATATAAACACCTTCTCCACTGTTTTTATGCTTTGAATAATTTAGACATTGGTGATTCTCAGTGGGGGGGAAAAACTGTTCCCGTGTACTGTATGAAAGCAACTTATAGAGTGCACACATTTTCATTGAGATTGTTGATTTTGCTACAAATAAAGACATGTGCCATCAAAATAACTAAAGATGAAGCAATTGCATAAAAGCAGTGTGCACAAACACTAGACCAGTGTTTCTCAAAGTGGGTTCTGGGGGACCCCCAGGGGTCATATAAGAGGGTTCCACGGGGTCCCCATCAAAAAATGAAATGATTTATTTTCACTGTAATTCCATCCGTAAGAAACACACTGAAAGAATGTGACTATTTTAGACATCTTTTCTTTATACACTTTTCGTAAAAAAAAAAAAATGTTAAAGCCAAAATCCTATCAGATGGGCGATCATGGGACACAATCTTATAAAGTAGGGGGTCTGTTGTCTAATTTGTGTCAGTCGAGGGGTCCTTAATGTAAAAAAGGTTTGAGAACCACTACACTAGATTGTCACAGAGATGCTTTAAACGTTTCACTATGTTTGTTTTAATAATAGAGGTGTGTGTGTGTGTGTGTGTGTGTGTGTGTGTGTGTGTTTTCAGGTACAGCCACCTCAGTGAGCTGGTGGAACATTTTTTCCCCACGCTCTCTGTCAAGGGCAGTGCAACCTCTGCTTTGGACTGTCCCGAGTACAGCAGTTTCTCCTATTGGAAGGAGCCTCTGCCAGAACTGGACCTGGATGCACTACTGTAGACAAACATACCCACATCTACCAAAATACATACACACACATATTTTAAGGCAAGCACATATACTCTTGTGTGTGTTCTGTCCTTTTCCAGAGGATATACAAAGAACTTTTCTCAGCATGCCTCAATTTTGCCTTTGATAGACCTGCCAACTGTAGTGCCTGGGACACTAGAGAAAGAGGCAACTGTTCTGACTTACAATTTATAGAGCCAAATTAAGTCATAATATGCATGGCCTCCACATTTAAAAAATAAGTGTATAAAACATTCTGCAGCACTTAATTACAGTGCTTTTACACTGATTGTGGCTGTTTTATGCAATATTTAGCTGTTTAGCTGTTTTTGTGAAAATTCTACAATGAACACAACTGGATATTTTATGCCTTTGGACCGTTTCAGGTGTTTTTGCTACTGTGTGTACCAGCATCATAGTCATTCCTCAATAGGGATTTAAACAGTGTATTGGTAAGATAACTGTTAATACTGTCACAAGATACAGCTCTGAACACCTACCAAAAAAACATTTGTTTAGAAATTGAGCTGTATTGGATAAGTATTAAGTGATGCCTAAATTGTGTAATTACTGTTTTCTGTGACTGATCTGGAAGTTTTCACTTGAAGCTCATACTCAACGCTCAAATGGACCCAGGCACACACATCTACAAAACAAAGCTGTTATCCTTTATTCAGTTGAGATCAGATCAATTGTGTGTCTTCAGACTTCAGTGTTGCAGGGAGGGCTTTTGTAGCTACCAAGCAACCAAATATAGTGTGAGAATGTATTTTAGATGCTTTGGATTATTTTAAAGTCTGTGTGACCCTAGTAAGTATGACATAAGTGGGGTCCTTTGCCCTGAGCGATGTTGAGCATTATTTAGTTATCAGTGGTCATTTCTGGCAAGCACAAGTGTGTTCTGATCACATTTGACTCAGCTGAGTTGTAAGCTGGAAGCTAGTTGATCTGAGCATATTATCATTGTGAAACTATAACATGAACATTTCACATGTCTTCATTTCAGGTACTGCACAACTAAGTTTAGAAATGTTTGAACACTACATAAATGCGGAGGGAGATCAGACTGACAATGACCTTTATTCCAAAGATGTATAAACAGACCATTGGAGAAGAATGTGCAGTAGTGATGTGGGCTGGCGCTGTGCCTTTATACTATAATGACTGATATTTATTATTTTTGTGTATCTTTCATCATCCAACTGTGCGGAGATGCATTGGGCCTGAGGAATTTGCTGTTTTTAAACCAAGTATATAGAAATAAATGAACTGCCTGTTTTCTTTGTCCTCCAGTTGTAATGTGAAATGATTGATTGTTCCATTGATATTCAATACACACACACACACACTTTTGTACTTTATTGCAAGAGTGCACAAGTTCAATTTCAAATTGCTGTCATTGCATATGTTTTTGCAGTCTTACAATATGTAGGCTATATTTTTGCACTGAAAGGAAAAAAATGAAACAAAAAGTGATTTAAATGCTGATATATCTACATCTGTATATCTTTACATAAATACAGATTTATATCTAGGCTAAATATATTTGCTAAACTATGAGGACATGACACAATATTAGATAGTGGGGCAAATACACGCATACTGAAGTCAGGCTGGCACATGTTGCTGAAGATTACTGTTGATCTCCAGTAGGGCAAATAAAGGTGTTCGTGTTTATGAAAGGTGTAGAGTGATCCGCCAGTGATCTCTGCGTCAGTGCGTTTTATTGATTCTTATCCGAAGAGGAAAGACTCGACGCAACACACTACTATTGTAACAGGTAAGTCTGTTTTTGTTTTTGTCTCTTCATTAAAAAACCCCCCACGGAAATCTATATTAAGCCGTTTGGAGCGTCTCGCCTGCTACTATGCAAGTAGTGCGCAAAAGCATGAATAATAATATAGTAGGCCTAATTATTTCTTGAAGAAAGCAAAGCCAGACGAATTGCAATCAAAGCTATTCACTGCAGTACACTTAAGAATGTACGTCTGATTACTTGAAGAGGAGAAGGCAAAAGTGTCAGGGACTTGGCCGCGTGGAGATCCTGCTCGCTGGAAATCGAAACTTAACCGAAGACTGAACAGACAAGGCAGGTGACAACGGAGAAACATTTACGATGGCCTATAGTGCTAGACCTCTCATCACTTGACGATTGGACACATTTTCCTGCAACTTCAATTTCTTATTCACAATAGACATACTTTGATGAAACCTCGGTCTACAGTGTTATCAGTATCAGTTAGCCTGTATGGTTTCCTTGTGCTGTAGTCATGCAGGGGTTTTACCTACACCTGCCAGAACGCTGCACAACATGTTTGCATTACTCTGGGCCACATCTACCGTTGATGACACTTCAGACATGTTCTCAGTGTTGTTTGTAGGATTTTTTGAGGTGTTGCAATCTGGAGTAGCTTACGTTCAGTTAAAACACCAACGTGAACATTTAATACACTTGTTGGATATTTTATACACAGATTCCCACATTTGTTTTGGTAATTTTTCATTACTTTTAGGGCAACAACAAATGAATCAGTATTTTGGCATTTAGAATACATAACTGTTAAAAACAGTTAACACGATAAATATAAAATAAAAATGCAATGTGAAGATTTTTTAAAAAGGACTATATTTGGTGTCTGTTCATAATTGTTTTTTGTTTTTTTTTTTACTAATGAGGACTCCTGAAATCAGTTTTTCAAAAATCCTAACTATGACCATGGTATAAAGTCCATTTTTCCCCTTATGCCATTTACATCCATATTTACCAGCATAGAAGTAACAATTTTAACAGAGTCAAATAAGTCAGCAAAGTTTATATAATGAACTACATATTTCTGAAGTCTTACCCTCGGTTGTCTTTTTTTCCAGCATCTGTCACCATGTCTGAGAGTGAGATTGAAACCAACATTTCTAAAAAGGACCATGCAGCAGCTTTGGCTATGGAGCTCACTTGCCCCATCTGCTTGCAGCTCTTCTCTGAGCCAGTTTCCCTTCCGTGTGGTCACATCTACTGCTTTGCCTGCCTTCAGACCATGGGAGAAGGCCTTGACCAATACAGCTGCCCTGAGTGCCAGGCGGAGTACCAGGGAACCAAAGCCCTTGTGAAAAGCTTCAAAATGTGTGACATTGTAGAGACCTACAAAGCCACTACTGCGAAAGCCGACTCTTCTACACACCCTTCTGACATCAGCCATGTAACAATTAAGGGTGACGGTATCTCTGTTACAGAAGAATCAAACAGAAAATACCACCAGGGCACAGCAACCGCTGGAGAGGGAAAGGGTGGCTTTAAAATTGGGTCTGGATCCACAGAGCAAGTCAGTGGCAAAGGCAAGATGGAAATGGATGAACCTAAATTTAACCTGGCATCTCAAGTCACAGAATTGAGTCTCAAGTTGGAGTTGGCAGAGAGCGTGCTGAGGAAAGAGAAGGAACGGGAGTTAGAGGTGACCACTGCTAGTAGTCAGCTGAGAGAGAAAGCATCCAAACTTTTAGGGCAGATAAAAGATTTGTCGCAGAGCTACAGTGCACAGGTGATGCAGCTGATTGAAGAGGAGCTAGGTCCAGGCGAGGCCAGTGTAGGCAGTCGAGTCAGTCAAGCTTCTGAGCTGACTAAGCAGCTGAGGCAAGCTATGCTCAGGTCTGAGTCGCTTCTGACAGAAGACGACGAGACTGCATTTAGCGACGAGCTTCGGACTCTACAGCCACGCATTGTAGAGTTAATGGCCACTCCTGTGGGAGATGAGGAAGACCACATTGAATCAAATGTCAACCCTGTGCGAGCCTGTCAGAAGCTGGAAAACATGAACGCTGAGCTGAGGGAACGATTTGGAGAGATTCAGCGCTCCCTTCGGAACACCCTCAACCCTTCAGAGGTGACCTTTGACCCAGAAACAGCCCACCCCAACCTGGTCCTCTCAGAGGACTTGAAGACAGTGACTTTCATCGCCGCCAAACAGCCCTATCCCTCCTCTCCTAAGAGGTTCACCAGCTTCTTCCAGGTCCTCAGCACCCAGAGCTTCTATGAAGGTGATCACTGCTGGGAGGTGGAGCTCGAAGGTTCTCCGTGGATCATTGGCGTGTGTTACAGTGGGAAGCTGCCACGTAGCGGCTTGCCCTCTGCTCTCGAAAGTAGCCGGAGCTCCTGGTGTCTGATGTGGTTCAACAACCTGCTCACAGCCTTTGAGCAGAGTCACGATGTGCCGCTGAAGAGGACCACAGTGTCACGCAGGCTGGAAATCAGACTGAGTTTCAAGACCCAGAGGCTGAGCTTCTACAACGTCAGCCCCATCAGCGGGAAGACTCATGTGTACACATTTAAGGCTAACCTGACTGAACCAGTGCACCTGGCCTACAGGATGATGTCAGGGCACCCCAAAGCACGTGCCACTATTTATTCGTAACTATTAACTATATATCCTTAGCAAATGTGCTGCATAGTAGAAAGAGCAACAAAAAAGATAATGTGAGATGAATTTTAAGTATTTAATTGTGTCTCAATAGAAGACGCAGACTGATTTCTCAGACAACTTGTTCCAAAGAGTTCAGGAATTCTGATGGCACTTCCTGATCACCTTTAGCCCATTTGGATGCTTTGTGTGATAATATATTTAACTACTCAACATAAATCTGACACAGATATGGTGGTCAAAATTAAGTGTCAATAAATGTCATTATTATTATTAGACCTATTTACTTTAGGGTAATGTACTAATATTGTAAAGGTTTGAATAAAGCAAAAGGCATCAACGTGGAAAAATATTGTGTTTTATGTTTTTCTGTCTCCATGTGACAAATAAACTCACGAAATTCATAGTACCTCAGGCTTCATAATGTATTATCACCATATTCATATTATTAAACCGTTGGGAGATGTCACTCTCTAATGTGTATTTTACTTAAATCAAGGACAGGTAGACTGTTGGAAAAGAGACAGGTAGATTTTAAAAGTATCCAACCGACAATATACAAATATAACAAAACATGCTTCTAAAATTAATTACCTACCCTAACTCTAATTTAAATAAATGGACACACAAAAAAATAGCATTAGCAGTACACACCCACGATTGCTAAAGCTTTCCTCCTGTAGGTAAAAATAAATAAATAACTAAAACACCACGTCACACTTATCTCGCGAGATGTGTGTCGCTTGTTTGGTGAGAGTGTCAGCTGACCACACTGGGAACATTTGTTAACGAAACTATCTGGTACAGCCATGTCCCGTGGTATCAGGGATCAATATATTTATCGATTACAGCGTGGAAAGCATGTGCTGAGGTCATATTACTTCTAAAACATTTCACAGCGGTTGAACCCTTGAATCGGTAAGATATGTTATGTTGTTTTTCTTTTACCAGTTGAAGCTCTCGTTACGTTGGGTCAGCGTCATTGCACTTGCATTAGTGTCACGTTTGTTTTGATGCTAACGTGAACCCATCGGCTTTTAAGCAGTTTTACCTGATGTAATTTAGCAAGCCGTGTTTGTCGCTAGCATTGTGGTTATTTCGCAGTGTTTGTCTCTAGCGGAAGCTCAGAGGAGACCTTTGTAATTTACAAACAGCCCGTCTGCGGCTAGCAAGTTTTAAGTAACGTTAGCAGCGTCAGCTAACGTCCGAAATCCCCCTGAACGCCAGACTGAAAGTATTATGATTAACGACACTATGGAGGCGTCGGTTCCCTTACATTACGATTAGCTGCCCCCACTGTAGTCTTTGACCAACTCCAGCAACACCGATGTTTAGTTGAGACTGACCTCTAGTCATTTTATTTTGTTTACTCTATCCAAGTTATGCCCTTTATCCTGACAGGTCGCAAACTGTTGAGTAGGCGTACAGTAATGCTAACAGGATCAGATTAGTTTTCCGTTTGAAACTTTAACTCCACTTTAACACGTGGCTGATCATAGCAGCTATTCTCGTTACATAATGTTTATCTTAGAGGGAAGAAAGCTGTGGCAGGTGCCTTCCTGGTACAACAGCCCAGCTGCTCAACAGCTGTAGACCTATACTAACTAAAGTCTTAAACCTCAGTAAAAAGAAAAAATCTCAAGTGTTTGTGTTGTGCTCCACAAAAATGGACTCAGCACTCTTGTATGTAACCAAGGGACCTTTCCTTCACAAAGCCCACTCCCAAAAAGAGGAACCTCTTAGAACGAGAAGTAAAATGTCTGTGTCGGCTCATGTGAGTAATGATCAGTTTCAATTAACATCTGACATAATCAGATTTCTTTCCTCAGGGTGCGACACCATGCTAGCCACAGTGACTGCTGTGGTTAGGTTTGCTCAATACTATGGCAGCATTTCACCTACACCACTGGAGAACACATCAGCATTCTCAACGTGGCAACCTGATACCGAAGCAAACATCAGCAAGCCTCACAAATGTCTACAAGTTCTGTACGAAGACATCGGAGACTCCAGGTACTCGGTAGCATACTGTAGAAGAAATGGTTAGGAAGCCAAGAAAGTGCTAGTAAAACATACTTTGTTTTTTAATCTTTGTATGACAGTGCCAGAAATAGAAAGTGGAAATAAATTACTAACTGTTTAAAATGAATATCCAACGGTCTGTTTATTTTATCTGCAGTAAAGATTGCACATTTTCATTAAGTTCTACATTGTTCCCCTTCACATTCATCTCTCTGTTTAAGGGTGCGGTTCTGGGACATCTTACTACTAGTGCCTAATGTGGCATTCTTTGTATTCCTGATGTGGAAGCTGCCCTCAGCCAGGGCAAAGATCCGACTCACCTCCAGCCCCATCTTCGTCACCTTTTACTTGCTGGTAGGACACAAACCACAGAAACACCAATAAACAGTGTAGTGTTCAATCTAATTATGTTGAGCTTGATGTGCAAAACACAGTTAAAGATTTTATCCTATAATTTAAGATTGATCTTTTGTTCATCTTTTTCACTCTCTGAACTGGCAGAACCAAACTTTCAGGCTCGGGGGATTTAATTCACTGTATTATTGCTCCCCGAAAAATCTAAAGAGACAAAGCACCAGTATATACCTTTCACTTTTGTCACAGCAAGGACAAACAACCGTGTCGAAAGACCTACTCATGATGTCTTTACTGCGCCGCTTTATAATGTGTTCCTTCTTGGTGGAAGGTGCTTTCTCTTTGTTTCCATTATTCCATTCCATTATTTTACTGCATCTGTCTGTTTAGGTTACCATTCCAGTGATGGTAAGCTTACAATAAAGACTCGAGAGAAGAGGATATCTCGTCTCTGCAATGCCTGGCGAGGCTATAAAGGAACTCTGCACATTGCTGTCACTAGTGTTAACCAGTGCATTGTTGCTATATACTCCAGCATGTGTTTGTTGTGTTCAGAAGAGAGACTTTTATATGGTCTAATATGTTTTTTTATGTACTGTGTTTCTTAGGTGTTTGTTGTAGCAGCGGTTGGAATCACCCGGGCCGTTGTGTCCATGACTGTCAGTGCGTCCAGTGCTGCCACCATTATAGACAAAGTAAGAAAGCACACAAAGCCTTAATAACATTTTTCGAGCACACGTGGGTGATATATATATATATATATATATATATATATATATATATATATATATATATATATATATATATATATATATATATATATATATATATATATATATATATATATATATATATATATATATATATATATATATATATAAATAAGCAAAGTACATGGTTATTTATAGAGATTAAAGTATACACTGAATTTGTTTCACAAATTAGGGAACAAACGAAATAACTGTTTTTCTACCTAAATCTGATTTTTTTTACCCATATTTAGTAATGCAAAAATCTGGGTAAAAATATGAATTAAAAAAAAAAACCCTGTCTAGGATGCACATTTTGTAGTTGCGCACTATTGTTTTCAGTGCTTGTAGGAACTCTTCACTTTTGTGTACTGGAAACATGTACCAGTCACATGATATTCATGTTTACTGTAAACTACAGCTTCTTTGTGTGATGGAATATGCAGTCTGGGGGAAAGTGGTTTAAGATGATGTAGTGCGCTTTTCTAAACAGACAAAACAGTTTTCTTGGAGTTTAACAGTAACAGGTAGTACATGACAAATTGCAGCTTTTGCAGCATAAACACTTAAACACACGCCCATACTGAAGTAGCATTCACCATATCCTGTCACAGACGTCTCCTTTATTAAATACTCAGAGGGGCTGATTTGGGCTTCAGGATGACTTTGTTGGGGCTTCGTGTCTAAAAGGAAAAGGCATTGCTGGCATTCCTCACATACCAGATAAATCCCTATGGAGTTCACTGGGATGGACCTACTGTTCCCATAGCACACTGTCATGGCTGCGCTGTTGAAGAAGAAAAAATACAAATGATTATACTACTCCTCTGCTCTTCCACATGGATGCTCATGATGTTTGTTGTCTCTGTAGGTGCTGTGGGAAATCACCCGTTTCTTCTTGCTGGCCATTGAGCTCAGCGTTATCATTTTGGGACTGGCTTTCGGTTAGTTTGCTCTACTGGTTTCGGTTCTCATTTACTGTATGTTTGAACCAATTTGGTATTTCTCTCTCTTTTCACATGATCCATTTCAAACGTCCCTTTTTATAGTTTATCCTTTTCAGCCCTGAACCTAACCATGACTGTAACTGAAAGTCTGTACAGCTTTTTGTTTCTGTCAAGCCTCTTTTCTTTATTCATTCATCAGGTCACCTGGAGAGCAAGTCCAGTATTAAGCGTGTGCTGGCTATTACTGCTGTGCTGGCTCTAGGCTACTCAATCACACAGGTAATGACAGGTGATAAGAGGTGAAACAATGTTTAAACGCGTCACTGGTAAACTGACAATCGGTAAATTGTCATTCTGTATGCAATTGTAATGAATGAGACATTGTTCTAGGGCACACTAGAGATCCTGTATCCAGACAGTCACCTGTCCGCTGAGGACTTCAACATCTACGGTCACGGAGGACGGCACTTCTGGCTGGCCAGCTCCTGCTTCTTCTTCCTGGTCAGTAACCTGTAACCATGCAGCAGTGGCAGCGTTGGCAATAAAATAAAACTCATGCTTCATAGATACCTGAGAATTTAAGTCCAATGTTTGATTTTATAAAATGATTTTTTTTATAGGTGTACTCTTTGATTGTGATCTTACCTAAAACTCCAGTGAGGGAGAGGATATCTCTTCCATGTAAGTCACGGGTTCCATCACAAAGATCAGAAGTTAAATTTCAGAGGTTAAAAGATTTGCATTATGTATTGTGAATGGAGAATGCATGTTGCACTTTTAGTAATGTGCTTCTTACCTCTGCATGATGTCATGTAATCTAATGTGTTTGTCCTCTGTTGTCCATTTTGCTTCCTTTAACCAGCTAAGAGGAGTTTCTATGTGTATGCTGCCATCCTGTCTCTACTGAACCTCGTCCAGGGCCTGGGCAGTGCTCTGCTATGTGCTGAAATCATAGAAGGACTCTGGTCAGTATAACGCTTTTGAGTATTATTCTAAATAAATGCACCCGCATGAGTATTTTAGGACAAAAGATGAGTTGCATAGGTGTTAGGCTTCACAGTAACTGTGGCTACAAGGCATTGGGTTTATGCAGTACAAGCCTTTTAGAAACATTTCCTGGATATGGAGCTGTGTGGCTGTAAGGGTAGCGTTATATATACCGTTTACTTTTGTAAACCACTCAGGGGTCTGGTGTATAATTTATATTATTTCCCTACAAAATCGCCCCAATAATTCTAGGATGCTTAAATCTTTTCAAATCAGTATGTTTTTTCATATCGCAATATATATTGCAGCAATATCGTGCAGCCCTAGTGGCTTTTTTTGTTTGTTTGTTTTATAATTGACTTTGGTGGTTACGTTGTAACTAGGAGATGACTCACTATTTTGATGGGTCCCATGAAATTCAGAAGAGTTTAGGGGAGCGGATGAGAATATAATAGATTGTTTTCCTTTTGGATTAAACTGTCGTATTGACAGAAACCTGTTGTTTGTGCTTTCTGTATCTGCTGAAGCTGATAATATCCTTTATGTCCTGTAATTTTACAGGGACTGTTTACACAGTAAGAAACCTTTTGTTTTGTCTTTTCTGAACCAGCTGCGTGGATGTCACCACCTTCCTGTACTTCTCCGCCTTTGCGCCACTCATTTATGTCACATTCCTCAAGGGCTTTTTTGGGTTCGTAGAATCATACAAAATATACGGAATACTTTTTATAGTTAAGCACTTAAGACAGCTGACCATGTTTCTTTTTTTATTTCACTACTTTCTTCTTTTCCACAGTTCAGAGCCCAAGATCCTGTTCTCCTACAAGTCACAGGTGGATGAGCCGGATGAAAGTGACGTCCACCTTCCCCCAACCGTCGCTACAACCCTTGGCCGTAAGGAGATGACTGACCAGGGCCTTTTTTACTCCTCCACCCAGATCGATGGCTCTGGGCCCGGTAGCTCTCGTATGGTTGGAGCATACCTGGATGATGTTGCTTCCGGACCCTATGGGTCCAGCAGCGTTAACAGCATTGAAGCGGACCGCTGGAGACCCATAAATGTATGATTCATTGAAGAGGGGTAATGGAAGAAGAGAGATTGTTATATAGATGGACTTAAATGTTATACGTGTGTAGTGTGTTAGGCAGGGTGGCGATCAGAGGAGTTGGCCAAGACGCCAAGAAAGTGTCACCTTGTCTTGCTTTGAGGCCAGGATAAGTTAACAAGTGGACACTTAAGGAGAGGCCTTTGCTAGCCAATTAGCTGGAGAACTGTGAATTTAGCAACTGCTTTTGTAACGCTGTTACCGGAGTGCACTGCTGCTGTAGCTCCACACTGGGAGTGCTGTCCCTGATTGTGGCCCTGACAGACTTGGTTCTGTTCCACAGGCTCTTAAATGTGGGAGCTTTCTGATTTTTTTTTAATTTTTTTTTTATCATTTCTGCATTCATGCATCAACTTCTCAGTTACAACCCTGTTTTAAATAGCCATGTCTTCTAACATTCTTTTGACAACAAGTCAATGTCTTACGTACATTCCCACTAAAAGCTTTGAGCAACAGCAGCTCAACTGACCTTGTTATCTGCTGCCTTGTATTAGATTTGTGACACAACCAGCTAATCATTTTTTTTTACTGAATCACCGTGCCTCTACACAGAACAAGGATTAGTGCTGATTCATTTTGATAGGTGTACTCTCAAATAAGTGCTGTCCCTCCGGTGAACAAGTGATGGCATAGTGTTATGCTATATGATAAGGAAATCGGTAACTCCTAAATACAGGCACGGCATTCATGTTAAAGATCATAAACTATCTGTAAGGCTCTCTGCTAGGAATGGCTTAGACACAGGAGTACATCTTAAATTATGTCTCAGCCACAAGCTCTCCATCTGTCTTTTCTCTCCTCTGTTATTTATTTTGTGCTTTTGCTTTAATTTCTTAAACCACATTAATCATTCCTTCCACTGAAAGCACATTTATTAGCTTTACAGTCATTAAAGATGTGTTGTAACGTGTGATTTGAGCAACAAATGTGCAGAAACCTTTTTTGTGTGTATTCCAAATTAGACATGCCCTCATTTCATATCAGCGTATCAAGTTCAGCTTTGCTTGCTGTGAAAGGGTTACTGTTGCAAAGTTTAGTTTTTATTTCGCTGCCAATTTCTTATTTTCCCCTGTGTTTGGAGTTTCCACTAATGTTATTACAAGTGGTGAAATTAGACCATAAACAATATTGCTCAATTTTACAATATCAACTGATGGTATTGGTACAGCTTCAGTATATAGATATTAACTTTAAATTCCCTTGTTGTGTCAAGGGCAACTACTGGACTGTTGCAGAGCAAATTTTCCATTCTGATCAACTTAAGCTTCTAGTTGTTTGCTTTTTGGTTCAACTCCTGAAATAAGTTCTTGTCATACCTCCTGGTGTCACTACAATATTATACTTTACTTAACGTATGTCTACCAAAGACATATGATGTGTTTCTTCCTGAAAATGCTATGTGTTTGGAATGAATGGATTACTGCATTTAAGCTAGCAGTATTCATAGATAATGGAGACCTGTATGCAGAAAATAGTAGTAATTTTTTAATCATTCAAAAGCAAGAACACAGTAAAGAAGTTGTGTATTTCCAAGAAATTACAGTATTTGCCTGACCCTTGAAATATTCCATGTTCAGGTTTGAGTGCTGGTGAGAACTGTTGTAGTTACCTGGAGGTATAGTGAATAGTGGGACATCAGTTTGTGTTATGGAATGTCCACTCTCTTGCTGCACAAGATGTCTGATGTTGAAATAATTTTGCAAATCATCTGTAAATTGCCTTTTTATTTAAGTGCATTGACTGTATAATATTCAGACCATATTAATGCAATGTATCGAGCGTTCCATGACCTACAGAATAAACCGTGGACTCTTTTATGTTTGCTTTGGGGCTGAGACAGGAGAGAGAAGCCACACTGTGGCTGGTTTAGGTAATGCAGTCCATTCAAATTCAGGACAGGAGTCCACTCTGTGGTCGCTTGAGGTAACTTCACTCTGGGGAAAACAGCTTTTTTTCCCTCCTACATATTATACATATTTCCTCAAAATGATGACTGTTTGCTCTATATTCTATGTTTCCTTATGTTGTGTTCGTGTTATAAAGCTTCACAACGCAGACTTCACGTTAGTCAGACCACAGATTAACTACAATTCCCATCGACCCTTTAACCGATTTAAGATATGCGACCATGATTAACGTTATTTCATCCAACGAATGAGCTTTGACGATACTGCAACGCGAGAATAACCTTTACTGAAGTCGCTGTGGCGGCGACTCCAGCCGCCCACATTTATGTCTCCCTGTCCTACAACTAGACAGGGTTTGTAGTATTATTATTATTATTATTAGTGATCCGGTGGAAACGGACGGCTCGTAAAATGGGAGGTAATGGCAGCACGACTAGGAAAGTGTCCTTCGGACTGGACGAAGACGAGAAGGTCGCAGTAATTGAAGGAGTGAAGGTAGATATAATGTAACATATCGTCTTATTGTTAACACAATTCAGTTTATTGTATTTTATCAGTCAGAACGGCTGAAGCTAATAACGGCTAAGTTAGCTAGTAACGTTAGGCAGTCACAGGTCCTATGTCCTCAAATGACCCCTTCCTACCCCTTCTCTCTCCATAATGTCCATTTAAGTTACCGTTCCTCGGTCTCTTAGGTTAGTGACTTTAGACTAGCCTTGTTAACAGCTTGGTGAATCACGACATGTAACGTTAAATACTGCTAAAATGCCAATAATTTCGGACATTCACGCAGCCATAACATGAACATGCTAGCGAATTGTACACAGCATGACGTTAACTTCACTGTTAGCTAAATGTGCTATGTCAGTAACATTGAAGGGAGTTAACAATGTCACTGTAACGTTAGTAATAGTTAAATTAATTGTGTCCCGCATATGAAGCTGCACATTTTACAGGAGGAGAGTAAAGTAATAATGTTCATCATGTGTTGATCCATGTAAGTTAACGTTAGGCAGATACTAACTTAGTTGTCTTACCTATGAGGAAGACCAGAGGTACAACTGTGTACAGCAGCACATCTGGATCTGGTTGTCACTTAAATTATTGCTCAAGGGCACTTCACCTGGCCTGGAGGATGGTCTCTTTAACCAGTGAGCCATTTAATCTGCTACTTTCCAAGACGCACAGCTGTCCCGTACGCGCACCAAGGGGCTGGTGTGTGTTTGTGTGCACATTTAGTCAATTGTCACGTTCCTGTCCAGCTCTCAGAGGATGTGCTCCGGCGGATGAGGGAATCAAAGGGGTCTGACAGCGCCAAGCTACCACCGGCGACCTCAGACAGTCACAAACCACCACCAAGTAAGTCCCAGTCAAAACACCTTTCCTTGCTCGCAGCTCTCCATTTCGAAGGCCTCATACAGTGACTGATCACGATAAAGGTCAATTCACCATAGCAGTACTGTGTGACTATTTAAGATTGTTGGACAGAACACAGTAAACATAAACTGGGTCATTTGTGTGCTCACACTTTGGCATTTGACACTGTTGCTACTCTGTTCTGCAAACTGATCCGTATAATGGTATTGATATTTATCCCATTTGATTTTCAGGTCCAAAACCCTCCACTGCAGAAAAACAGGAAGAAATCCGCCAAAAGTAGGTGCTCATAATGTCATGGTCACTGTCCCTTTCTGTTGTCATCCAGCCACATTTGGTGGAGGCCCTGCTGCTGTTACTTTGCATGTATTATATTATGATTAGATTAGTTTGAGCTAACTTGGAATTTGAAGCCTCCTTGAGATGCCAATTAATTATTGCAACTTCAGCTTGGTAAATGGTAGACTGTGCAGAATTTTTGATCCTAACGTATATTTTCATACATTTAATTTGGGCCTACTGTGTTGACAGAGGCAGCTAATAGCCGGTGGAGGTGACAGATGTTTAAAATAGCACTAGTGTGCAATGTTTATGGAGAACACACATGCCTGTCAACACTGCCTGTGCTGATTTACTCTCCCTGTATAACAGACATGTTGCTATGCTGCTGGAATGATCATATATACTCTCCTGAGCCTCTAGAGATTTACATGTTGGCATGTCTAACACTTCTCTACCTCTCTCACTGCAATGCTGTTTCCTGCTAACGTGTTAGATATAACATACAGTATATGATACAGTATTTGATCAGTTATTAATGCCAATCTTCTTAAATTCTGGGACTAAGCATATCAGCGTTGTCAGGTAATGTAGCAGAAGTATTTTAGTGAACCCAAGGCATGGCCATATTTCATAGTGTTGGATTGCATTATGTTATAGGTTGCATTATATCCTAGTTTGTGTTCTCCTCATGTATTTATATAAAATGAAATAAAATGTAATACTTTAATTAGATTCCACACAACAATTAATTAATGAGGATTATTGTTATTGCTATATTGACCATTCATTTTCAGTTTTATTTTCATTTCTCAGGGTCTACATGTTGTTTTGGATTTGCATTTTTCACTATGCCACTACCATAATACTAAAAAACAATCCATAAGATATATGGATATATTTTTGGAGGCTTCATCTTTCGTATCCGCAAAAACCAATACCTCTCTGACCTCACTGGGTAGCTCTCTATGTGAACAAGAACGTGCATGTTTAGCAGATTTTAGTTAAGACAAATAAAGGTTTAAAACAGTTCTTCCTCTACTTTAGCTTTGAGCGCCAACAGGCCCTGGTGCAGGAGCAGTTGGCCAGACTGGCCCAGAGGGAGAGAGAGACGTCAGCAGCTGCAGGCCTGGATGAGCTGACCCCTGCCCTCATCAGAGAGAGAGGAAGGGCCCGTGAAGAGCAAGAAAAGGCCAAGATAGTGGTGAGTAATGCTTTCTGGGTCTATAGCAGGAGTTATAGGCCCCTTTTCCACTGCATGATCATCATTGCACGCGCCAGACAGAAGCCAGTAACAGAAAGTTTATATTTTCCAATTTTCATACATTATTTCATCACCGGGCCGGTCTGGGGACCTAACAAAACCGTGGCGCAGCCAGAGTCAGTGGACTTTCAGAGTTAGACCGTTAAAAAAAGACCGTAAACTTGTAACACAACAGCTTGAAACTTCACTCCTGTTCCAGCATGCCGGCTGTGGCTTTTCATACAGACATCGTTCCGCCTCTGTTAACACCAACATTCCCGTCTCAGAGGTGGATCAAATCGGACTCCCCTTTCCGGCTTGGTACCTTTCACACGGCTCAGCGAGCCAGCATATTGGTGTAATAATCCCAGAAAATTGGGCAGTGTGAAAGCGCCTCCAGTAATTAGTGGTGGGAACCCTGAATAACATTTGTGTTATCTAGAAAGATATTGTTGGATTGTAGAAAATGTTTGTGTGATACATAATTTCACCACTTTCTTATTAAGTTCAGTGACTTGGCCTCAGGTTGGTTGAGCCCTTCATTAAAATAAAGGGGTGAAATAGGCAAACATTTTAATATTTAACAGATCAGACACTAGAGCTGAATGATTTTGTAAATTTTGTAATACTACAATTGTGATATTTTTTGCGATATTGAATGGAAAAAAAGAATTTAAATACATTTTCATATAATTATGTTTTTCATTGAAATATGATGTGTAGGCCAGGACATCTCTGCAGCACGACGGTATTTAATTGAAAATGGTATTTTGACACACATTTTGCCTTTAACAAATATTGCACCTACACATTGAAATTTCGATAAGATTTCGATTAAGTGTTCAGTCCTATCAGACACATTCAATCTTCAGATTTTCAAATATATACACTTTTTATCTGTTAAGTCTAAGATCTCAAATCAATATACGCCTTTATTACACATTTTACCATATACATGTTTGCATTATTTAGGAGTAGATTTCTTTTCCCCCAGAAACCTTTTGTATAAGTCAACAGCACCATCTACTGTTTAGACTTTGAATGGCAGCTCTGGACGGTGGCACTGGTAAATTATTGAATAATTAGGATGTACATGCTCGCAAAAACTTCTATTAAAAGCCTAATCCCAGTGAGACGCATGTCCCTTTTACTGGCCTGGTGTGGCTACATGTTTTGACAAATAAATACAGGTCTCAGTTAGACACTTGGTCTGGGTTTTATAGAGGTTCTTTGGATGTATAAAACCTCTTAAAGCCTACCGGTCACCTGCTTGAGTTATAGTTCTAAGCTACTTAGATCTCACATACAAATGTTGACGTTTGTCAATATAGTGAGTTCAGTTCATTTTACGGACACAATGAGCACATATTAATCATTCAGATTTACGTGTATGGTCGGTCTCTCTCTCATTCGCTCGCTCTGTGGCGCTCGCTCGCTCGCTCTGTGGTTGGCCTAGATGGGCTGTGTCTCTGAGTTAAATGAATGATTCTTAATTGATATGTTATCTGATAGCCTATTTTTTATACATGTAATATCCAGACTGGTTGAAATAAATAACCAGTAAAGTCATGAAAAGTGATTAAGATATTCAAAACAGGTTTGCTGTGAAATTGTTGTCCAACCTTGAAATTATGCATGTCATTGTCATTATCAGTAAACTTCAGAACTTCAGTAAACTGTTTTAATTCAGTATATTATGATGCTCAGTTGTCATAGCTGTTACAGAAGCTTTGTTTACGAAGACCCCTAATTTCAGATTCTCTGCACTGAACAGATCATGCCAGTGGTGTGGAAGCAACATAAATTAATCAGGGGGGATGTTCAGTATCTGTACTTTATCAGAGGAAATCCCTAGTGGTCCTGCCTTGCCTGTCGGGGTACAAGTATGACCATCTATTTCAACAGGCTATATTAATAATAACAGTGTTTCCCATACATTGATTTATTTGTGGCGATCGCCACAATATCAGCGCTGACCGCCATATATTGATGTTCGATTTTTTTTTTTTACTATTTGAAATGCGTTAACCCCTATTTCAGTAAAGCTGTGCACAAACACACACTGACAATGGACGTGTCTGAAAAGCCCCTCCTCTTCAAGCACAATCTGAATAAAACCATGGTCATGCGCTGGAGGAAGCATTGTTGCTGGCTTTTCCCCACAGAGAAAAGCCCTCAGCTGTGTGGGAGCACTTTAAACTGAGTGATGACAGCAGTAGTGTGGAAGTTATGGTGTTTATAAATTTTAATTTTGCTTAATTTCTTTACAGATCAAAACAGTCAAATTTCTTACATTTTAAAATTAATCAGTATCAAACTGTAGGCTGGAAACAAACAGCAACACAATGAACACATTTAAATAAGCCTAATTATAATAAGCCGATTGTTGAAGAAGTGCATTTTGTCTCTATAGGCTAATTAAAATTAAAAGTGAATTTTGCATGTTTATTTAGTTCCACTACCGAAAACACTGCTCATCCCGTGCGCTCTCCGCCTGGACCCCCGCCCGGCTAAACTATTCCCGGATTCTGCTCTGGACCTGCTTGGATCAGACTCTCTCACTCTGGACTCTCAGCTACAGTTCCCCCTACTCTGTACAGCAGCCACCAACCCAGTTCGGCACGCATCTATTTTCACTCTGTCTTAACCCCGCAATATAAATATTTCTCCCTTTCTTAGTCCTGCTCAAAAAATGACATTCGGGCCAGCCCTAGAGCACCGCTGCACAAAACTAATGCATGCTTGCTTTGCTTTGTCACTACTAGTATTTCAAATGTGCTTGTTGACACATACTCCTGTCAAATTAATAACGAGTCAACTAACAGGTCAGTGTGTAGGAGTGAAACAGAGGTGATTGCCAGAGAGATTTTTGTGTTTAACAAGTGTGTCTTTGTGTGTTTTTCTGATTTTACTTACATGTATATGATTAGCAGTGATTTCTTGCCTATCATTAATTAGTGATTACCTCCCTGGTGTTTTTTTTTTGCCTCACTTTGTTAAAATGAAACACTGTGGATTTCCCACAGCCCTGTCTGTCTCTCTCACGTACTCTCCCTCTCCTCTCCAATTGATTTGTCCTGCAGCGTCTTTTCGGCATGCCAGAAGCTGTAATGAATACTGAATGGAGCCACTGGCTTAGCTTACACTGATATGGGCTCCAAACATTTAATGATGTTGCATCTCAATGTGAAACTGAGCACTGTTACCTCAAAGCTTTTGTTTTTTACTTTTTCTCTGACATGACAAGTCAATACAGCCTGTCAGTGTGTGTGCAGATGTCAGTTTGTGTGTTTGTGTAGGAGTGGGGAGACACCTCAAAGGAGTATCCTGTCTGTGGTTGTACAGACATAGAAAATAAGTTTTGACCCAACTCTGTCACTGATGATGGGTGTGTTGACAGGTTTTAGCACTCCTGAAGTTAAAAGAGGGGGGAGGTTTTTTGCCGCTTTCAGGTGTTGATAGAATTGAAGTGGATGTACGTGTGTCTGCGAGAAGCCTAGACAGCATATAACTTGGAGATATCACCTCTCCCTTCCCACCTTTTCCTGTTTATCACCTGCCTTTCTTGTTCAGTCTTACCTCTGACTCTAACTTTTTTCTGCGCAACTGTCTAACACACTCATTGTTTCCAGTTTGATTACTCTAACATGTGACACATACTGAACAAACCACCAACAGACCTCAAACCTAGTGAAATTTACTCCCACCATTAAAAAGAAAGGTGTGCTTGGTTTATTTTTTTTTTGTTTCATTGCTTCAGCTTTTGAGGAGATTGAAAGTGGGATTCAGATTCAAGAGCTCTACCACTATACAATCTCTCTGCTTAGCAGGTGGGCTTCCCTCTCTTCTTTGCATTTTTTATCGACCTTGCATCTCCCGGCAACAACACAGCTGGAGGCTTAAAGAAAAAGTCTCTACACCCCTCCCGTCTCTTTGCCTATTCCACCTTAAACGCTCCACTTTGAGTAGTTTGGGAGCTGCCTTATTTCCTGGAGGAGATGACAGACACACACAGACATGCCGTACATTCACACACATAGTGCTATGACGCGATCACAACCCCCACCCCCCTCCCGCAGCCCATTTCCCCACGTGCACTACTGGTTTCCCAGCAGGCAGGCTGTGTGTTGGTGTTGGGGGGAGGAGGAGGTGGGGGAGGTGTGGCGGCAACACCTGTCAGAGAGCTGAGCTGCTCCCAACACTGCCTCAGGCTACCTGTCACAAACACTCACATTAGCCATTTACTTCTGTCTTAGCACCAACCGCCACCGCTGGGACTGTGTGTGTGTGTGTGTGTGTGTGTGTGTGTGTGTATAAATACATATACCTGTGTCTGTGCATACCTGTGCATAAAACAGGCTCCAAGTTGATTTATATCAAAGGAGTGTGTGTGTGTGTGTGTGTGTGTGTGTGTGTGTGTGTGTGTGTGTGTGTGTACAGGGATAACCGCTTGAAAGGTTCATCCACAGTTCAGTCAATACTATATTCTTTGAGCATCTTGCATATTATGTTTGTAAGCTTTTTTGTACTGTGGTATTTACATTTTAGTTTGGTGTAAAATTCAGTTTCCTTGTGTAGAATCTGATTAGAGCTGCAACTGTTAATGGATTTGTTGTCACCTATTAAATTAATTGCCAAATATTTTGATAAATAAAAATGTTACTTCCCTATTTGGTAAATTGAATATATTCGGGTTGTGGATAAAACAGCACATTTGAGGACGTCATCAACCATTTTCTGACATTTTTCAGACCAAACAACTAATCACTTAATTGAGAAAAATATGCATTAAGCCCAACATCTGATAGTGTTAATTCCTTCCTGCTATGCCTCATTTCTTCATGTAGTGTATGAATGCTTACCTGTAGCTCATTGACGTCTAGCTGATGTTCTGAATCTGTGAAAACAATTTTAAAAAACTCTTTTGATGTTCCATACTGATTGGCCAAGTGTGGACAGGT